TTGAGTATTCACTTTCTTCGTATATTTTCATTGTATAAAAGAAGTGTTGGGAGGTGAGACCTTCAAAGGGTGTTTAGCTCACGTGGGCTCAGCACTAAGGAGTGACACAGGCCATCATCACAGAAGAGACATTGTTCCTACAGGCATGGGTTCCTTAGAAAATGATGATCTGGGGTGCTGCTTGAGAGTGACTTCCTCTCTGTCTCCCCCCTCCCACCCCTCACCCCCTACCCCATGTTATGATGCAACAAGAAGGTCTTGTCAGACAACTGGACCTCCCAGCCTCCAGAACCATGAGCTAATAAATTTCTATTCACTACAAATTATCCAAACTGTGGCATTCTGTTATAAATTAGATATCATTACCAAGTAGAATTTATCCAAGGTGTATAGGTAAGTTCAACATAAAGGTGTATTCAAAACTAAATAAATGTAACTTAACAGGTGAGGAGGCTAAAGAAGAAAATCGCATGATCGCATTAATAGTTACAGAAAAACATTTTATAAAATCCAACATTCATTCATAATGAACTTTTCTGCAACTAGGAATACAAAGAAAATACCTTAACTTAATAAAAACTATATCCAAAAATATACAACCAATATGATCCTCAACGACAAGAAAATAGCCTTCCCCAGAGACCAGGAAAAATACAAAGACATAGTTTCAAAACACTCAACATCAGACTGGAAGTCCGAGCAAACTCAGTAAGAGCAAAAAGAGACATTAGATGGAGATAGATAGATAGATAGATAGATAGATAGATAGATAGATAGATAGACAGACAGACAGACAGATAGATGTAGATAAGTAGATGACATGGTCATCTATGCGGAAAATCTGAAAGAACTGATGAATAAAAAACCAAGATACAAGATTTATATAGAAATGCCAATCACTTCCCTCCATGCCAGCAATGAAGTCATTAAAATTTAAGTTAATATGTCACCATTTATACCAGGGCCCTCTAAAGAACCTTAGACATAAATCTAAAAAATATGTAATATCCATATGAGGAAAGCTACAAAGCTATGATGAAAGAAAAGAACTAAATCAAGCAAGAGATACTTCATTTTTGTGAACACAAAACCCTCTGCATCACTTAGTTTATCCCAGTTTAGAGATTCAATATCATCCTAAACCATGGCTTAGGAAATTATTTTCTCGACACTTTTCAACTGTAAAGTTGGTGTGGCATCTGGCAGCACCAGAGATGTTCTTTCGCAGGTAAGCAGATACATAAAATGTGGTACAACCGGAGTTTGAGAAAGAGTCAGAGAACTTAAAGACAGGTTACCTGGCAAAAGCGGCCAATAGGAAAACACGACACTATCTCAGGATATAGTAACAATACCCGTGATTGCCAGGTGTGGAGGCAGGGAGCGGAATGGAGGATGTTCAGGACAGTGCATCTGTTCTGCATGATGTTACAGTGACAGATAGACAACATTAAACACTTCTCAAAGCCTAATGCAAACTGTGGGATTTGATGGGTAGGGATGTGTCAGTGTGGGGATAGAAACTGCTCTTGCAGCCTAATTTTTCTGTGACCAAAAAAACACAAAGTGGGGAGTGGGGGTTGTAACTAGTCATTGCTGAAGAAAAATTAAAGAAGTAGGAGTATCAGTAATACAATGTAAACTTTATCAACAAAACCAAGATTTTTTTCCTATTTTTAAAATTATTTTTTCATATGAGATATTTTAATTATATTCTTTGGCAAGTGTGATAAAGAATGCTAGTGGAGGGCCAGATGTGGTGGTACATGCCTTTAATCACTGCAGAGACAGGCTTATCTGTACTATCTGGATTAGCCTGCTCTAAATAGAGAGTTCCAGGCTAGCCAGAGCTATATATGAGACCCTGTCTCAATAAAAGAAAAAAGAAGGGTGGTTGTGAATGTTAGCTGACAAGACTTCTGGGCTTCCTAAACAGATTCTAACATCGAAACCCGCTCACACCAAGGCTGCCTGTCACGGCCCAGAAACAGTCATTAGTAAAGGAAGGGGAAGGGGTATGCTGCCAAACTCTGATGAGGTGTACAAGGACAGAACTGCCTCATCGTCTGAAACATTTGGAGAAGGAAGCTTGTTAGAATGAAATATGTTCAATATACTGGAGTCAAAAATCACCCAGCAATTCACTTTAAAAATCTGCTAGAATATGAAACACGATTTTTAAAATGCACTAAGTGTTTCCAGAAAAGTTCTCTCCTCTCACAAAAAGACGCCTGGTATAATCTCATTTTTAATCTTTAAAAAATGGATTTCATGGACAAGTGAAATAATTTCAACTCCTAAAGTGATTCAGTTTTTACAAAACACGGACAGAGCCCTCCTCTACCTGGGGACGCCTCTATCGAGTCCTCCAAAACTCTTTTTCTAAGTTGCCCATGCTTCTGTAAGCAATCCTAATAAACTCAGTGGTTCACCAAACCCGAACCCCAAGCCCTCCACAGACAGACAGACCGACACTAATCACACACCACAGAGAGCAAGCCATCCCTCCTCCAAAATGCAAGGTTAATCGTGCTTCCTTTAAGTTAAGTCCCTCTCTTGAGACGCCTGTCACTGACTTCAGCATCAACAAGCCGCTGAGGAACAGAAAGGCCCGGCGCTAACAACAAGGTGATTCATAGACGGGCTTCACCAAGAAGAAAAACAACAGAGCCACAGAAGAGATCTGGCAACAGCAAGCACGCACTTGTAAAAATTCTCAGTTGGACAGTGTCTTGGGCTGCTTTGAACTTGGCCTTCACCCGGAGATCACCCGGGTTATGAACAGCTGCCGCCATCTCCTGGACGGCGGGAAGATCTCCTTAAGAAAGCGTTCTGCCTCATGTTTGCCCTTCCTCTTTTTCCTTCTTTGAGCATATGTGGGTGCGTGGTGGCACTTGTTCCTGAACACGTGTGTACATGTGGAGGCCAGAGGTCAACCACCCCTGCTTTTGAGACAGGGTCTCTCACCAGCATGGAACCTGGCAATGAGGCCGGCCAGCTGGCCAGTGAGCTGCAGGATTGTGAGAATGAGCCACCATGCCCAGCTTTTTTCATGTGGGCTCTGGGTCCCAAAGTCAGGTCTTCATGCTTCTATGGAAAGCCCTTTACCTACTGAGTGGCATCCCCCACCCCTGCCCTTTCTCTTTTATTGGGAAAATAAAGAGCCCATGACCATGGTATGGATTTCTTTAGAAAAGGCCAACTCTTTCTGGATTTCCCTTTGAAGCAACAAAGTCAAGCTTTGCATGCCACTTCATCAATAACAGTGATCCTTTGTTTCTGGGTATAGCTACATAAATTTAAATATTCATTCTACTCTCACGGCCACATGGCACATGCACGGGAAAGGAATAAAAGTTTCTTCTTGGGTAACTGATCATTACAGGGATTTAGACATAGCATCAGCCAAATCCTGCTCCTGACTGTACAGAAAAATATCCTGACGGGACATGCTGAAGTTTGCCCTTAACATATACTTTACAAAGCTCATAGGTAAACTTCACTGTGAAGAACAGCAAACTAAAATTGACTCTGAGACTTCCTGACCATCTTCTCTGCAACATCTCGACAGCAAAAATACTGTCTTTCTCTGCAGAAGCACCACAGTGTAGGGTGGGATCCAGAGCAACATCAATGGTTAAGATGTGCTTTTCGCCAAGGACATTGTTAGTGGAGATTTCAGTTGAGTTTTAAACAGCTGTTCTATGTCTTCTCTTTGAATACTGCAACCAGTCTACTCCCTTGTCAAGTCCATTATAAATTTGAGTTGTAATTTTCTTTCCTGCCTTTACTTCTACTTAACACAAGAAACTCAGTAGAGCTTGAAAGCAAATCTAAATGCCTGGATTCATATTTTGCTTCTCCTCCAAAAATGTTTCAAAAGGTGGGAGAGAAAAATCAACATTTATTTTAAATTTTATTATCAGGACTAGTTTATACAGAAATTTAAGAAGCCTTCAATAGGGAGTCATGCCATATACATGTGTATTACACCTTCAATGGGGAGTCA